TAACTTTCTCTTTTCGCTCAATCGCCGCCGCTTTTTTTAGCTTTCGTTTTTGTGTTTTTGACATCTCTCCAGCTGGTTTTTCCTCCTGTTTCTCCGAATTTTCGGGATTTTCCGTGTCGGATTTCACTGGCGCCGACCTTTCGGGCTTTTTCATTTTCTTCAACGCCTCCTTGCGTGGTTTGACGTCTTCCATGTCAAAACACGGCTCGATTCCGATGTCTTCAGCCATTTTTTGCCTAAAAATCAAAAAATTCAACAAAATCCGAAAATTGAGCAAAAATCGGTCAATTTTTGCAGTTTTTAGCTTGAAAAATCGTCAATTTCTCAAATTTTCTCCTATAGAACTTCGAAAAATCGCGAAAATCCATGAAAATTGACAAAAAATAGAAAGATTTAGGTTTCGAAACTGAAATATTTTTCGAATTTTTACCCTGACTACGGTGCGCAAGTCCGCAAACACCGATGTTTTTTTCTTGCACACAATACAATAAACCTGACGACATATAGTTTTTCAGCCAATTTTTCGTATTTTTTCGCTCTAATTCCTTCAATTCTGAAGCTTTTTTTGCGATTTTTTCACTTTTTTAGCACAAAAAATCATTTCCGATCAGCTTTTGCAGATTATATGAGCTCTGCAATCACGAAAAGCGCCTGGGTCCAGCTCTACAAACAACTCCAGAAAGAGGCCGAGAAGGTTGGTATTCTAAGGGTTCTTGGGGTGAAAATATGGGTTTTCTGGGTTAAAAACGCTCAAACAACCCGATTTTAAGCTCTAAAACCCAGATTTCCACCCGAAAAACTTCGAAAAATCAAATTTTTCTCCAGATCCCCCAATACAACTACCGCTCGTTCTACCACCGCCGCATTCGGGATCATTTTGTGGCGAATCGCGCCGTAAAGGACGTCGAACAGCAGAAAAAGCTCTTCCAGGAGGCTCAGAAGGAGTTGGAGAGCCTGAAACGTCAAGTGGTCTTCTGCAAGCTCTATCCCCATAATAAGACTATTGTCGAGCAGAAACTCGGTGAGAAATTGATGAAAATGGCCATTTTAGACCCGAAAAATCGATTTTTTGGCAAAAATTTGACCTAGAAACCTTTTTGATCTACCCAAAAATTGAAAAATAATTCCAAAAAAAAATTTTTTCCCCAATTTTTAGTCGATTTTTCTATTTTTCAGGTCATTAAACCCCTCAAAAACCCCTCAAAAATTCAAATTTGCCGCCAAAATGAGAGAGTGCAAAAAGTGCAAGTCGAACGAGTACACCAACAAGCAGCTCGTGATGATGATCAACGAGTGTGGACATCCGCTGTGCAAGTGAGTTTTGGAACTTAAAATGACTGAAAATCTGTGAAAAACGGCTTAAATTTGATGTTTTCAGGCTTAAATATGGTCAAAATGACTGAAAATAGCTGAAAAATCATGAAAAATGACTGAATGACCTCATTTTTTTCAAAATTTCCAGCCGAAATTCACTGAAAATGACTGGAAATACACGGAAAAACTGGAAAAAAAGGCTAAAAATGACCGAATATGAGCTGAAAATCGGAAAAAATCAGCCCTAAAACCACGATTATGAGCTCAAAAACGGCATTTTAGTAGTTTTTCATGATTTTCTTAACCAAAACAAAACTAAAAATCCATGAAAAATGATCCAAAATGAGCCAAAATCGGCGGAAAATGAGCTAAAATGACCTAAAAATCACTAAAAATGGTCCGAAATTCATGAAAAATGGTCCAAAATTTATGAAAAATGGTCCGAAATCCATGAAAAATGGCCCAA